TAAGAACACCCGTTTCAGACTTTATGAATAGCTCAATAGAAACGTTGATAATTAAGTTTTCGATGCTTAGTTTCCGTCTAAATTCAGTCAATATTTAGAAATTTCGAATTTTTGAATAGTGGTGAAGTGTTCTACAAACCTATCATTTTTTCGAGATGATGTTCAAATAAAACACCCAGTATTCCATTCCATCAATGAATAGAGCATACAAAAACGAGTTCAATGATATAAGAGTCTAAGAAAACCCGATTCGGACTTATTCATGATCCCCTTCAATAACTAGTCTAATTTCAAAACCCTCTGAAAACGTTGTGGAATGAGGTCTCCATGCTCGTTTCTCGTTATAAATCAACGAATTATGTTTTTCCTCTTTATCGTAGATCAGAATTGAGATCTCTCGAATTTGCCAAACGTGAAGATGTATTTCGAAAACTGATCATTTTCTCTATTCCATTTTATATTTCGATAAAGATCGACGAGATGAGTTCAATATGATTTTTAATATTTCATCGTCTATTTTTTTGAAAAGGAACATTCTCAAATATATTTATGAACACAAAAAAATTGATATATATATATATATATAAAGAAATACATTGAGAATTCGCATTCTCCATGTGATGAAAATATCAATTCTTCCACGGTTTATTCAACAGAAAACAACTACTTTCCTGGCTATATGCCACGACGAATATTGAATTACATCTATTGATGAGAATTTGAAAGCAAAATCTTGGGGGTGTATAATTTGCTGACCAAAATTGAAGTATGCTGACCGAGCATTTCTGATTAGAACTTCCTCTTCAAATTGCATATTTGAATATCTTATATAGATATATAGATGCCACCAGTGGAATTATTTCGATCCACCCTTTCAGAGGGGTAGTTTATTCTTGCAGTTTTTCAAAAATCCTATTTTTTTATTAAATAACATATTTGAAAATCACATTCATATCTATACATGCCACTAGTGAAATTATTTCGATCAACCCTTTCAGAGGGGTAGTTTATTCTTGCAGTTTTTCAAAAATCATTGCTGACCGAGCATTTATGGTGCGTATTTTTCCTTCAAATTACATATTTGGATATCTCATATAGATTAATAGATGCCAACAGTGGAATTATTTCGATATACTCCTTCAGAAGGTGATTTGATGGAAAAATACGGACCAGAAATGCTCGGTCAGCATGGATTGTCGAAAAACAGCAAGAATAAACTACCCCTCTGAAGGGGTGAATCGAAATAATTCCACTGGTGGCATCTATAAATCTATATGAGATATCCAAATAAATAATTTGATGGAAAAATACAAATCAGAAATGCTCGGTCAGCAAGAATTTTTGAAAAACTGCTAGAATGAACTACATCGAGATAATTCCACTGGTGGCATCTATATATTCATATAAAATATTTAAATATGCAATTCGAAAAAGAAAGTTCGAACCAGAAATGCTTGGTCAGTATACTTTAATAATCTTGGTCAGCAAATTATATTTCCCCCAAAATCTTCTGAAGTAGAGAATTGGCATTCTCCTTCATATAAAGATATGCATATAATATAATTCTGAATATTCAACAGAAAACAACTACTTTCCTGGCTATTTGCCACGTCGAACATTGAATTATATCTGTTGAATATCCAAAAAGAGAGCATGAATGATCAAAATCCTCTGATATTGAGAATTAACATCGTCTCTCAAATCGAATAGAATAATATGATGTATTCTGATATAAAAAAATATATATTTAACTTACCGATATGTTTAGTATTGAAATGAAAGTTGAAATGTATAGGAGAAGTATACCTGAATGAATTCTGATCTTGATGAGCTTGAAACTTCCAAAAAAATCATTCGTATCAGTGATATGGGAATTATATCTCTCACAAACAGGATATATGAATTCATTTCGGATATCATATCCTCATCAGTAACGTGAAGTCCAGTTATTCTTTCAGAATTTCTTTCCACGTCCTGTATGATGAATGTCAATTTATCATACATTTAAAAAAATTCTATTTTTTTAAATACTCCCTGATAGAAAAATTTTTTAAACGCAGTGACATTTTGGGGGGCAAATCATCTGCTATGTCCCTCTACAAATATATTGAAATAATACGAATGCTCTCATTTTATAGAAACGAGGAGAGAAAATCCCAAGGAATCAAGTAAAATGAATTCTATTTTTTTGTTTTTTTTTTCACATTATGAGTCAACCATTCTATCAACTCGCTTCGTATAATAATTGAAGCTGAAAAGTTTTACTGAAACTTCACTTTACGAGTAGGATCAGTATTTTCCCGATATTCAACTAAAACGTTGACTCAAAATTCGAAATATATATTTTTTATAGTCGAATTGTGGAGAATTTGATAATGTATGATTTCTTTCATATTTGACTGCACATGCTTCTCGAAATGATAACTTGAAAATCAAAAAAAGTGCGAAAATTTCACAGTTTTTTTGGAATATCCAAAACGCACCAGGAAATCTTGTTATACAACTCCAGATCCGGTTTCAGCAACCCGAAAAACATAGGGAACGATGATGAATTCGACTATTTAGGTTGTTGCACCATTGAACTACCATTTGCCTGAATATATCATTTTTCTCAAATCTCAACAAGAACCAATTTGCATGCATTTACTAATAGTTCGAGATAATCAATTTTCAATGCAAATTCAAATTTCATTGGTGACGCCACTGCATCCGAGCACAATTAGAAAATCAAGACTTGAATGATGCATTACATTTAACTCTTCCAGGTACAGGAATTTTGAAATATAACACCCCCTAGATGTACAGCTTCAATTTTCTTCCGATTTTCAAGAGCTTCATTAACAAACTAACTCCAAATGACTCAAAAGATACGAACAAATATAAAATAATTTCAGAATTTTACAATTTTTACAAAAAACGGTGGGTCAAAATCTACCCCACCATTCCATAAGGTGAAAAATTTCATGAGAATCGACTCATTTCAAATCACTGTGAAACGTCTGCAAACATGTTTTGTTCTCTGCAAGACAGAGTGAAACACACAACCAGTTTGTTCCAACTTCAAACTTTCCTGAATTGCAAAGAGCATTATCTCCTTCGACTTGTTCGGATAGGTTGATGAGCACACTGTGTGACTCTCGATCATTACCGCGCTTTGACTGAGTGTTTTTCTCTATTTGACTCGTCCATTCGATTGATGTTCTCGATGAGGTTACTGATATTTATTGACGACTAAATGATTCACTTCTTCATTGATAACTTTGGAAGATATAGAGTATTCTGTGAAGAATAAATGAGTTGACTACAGCGGCATCCAAGGAAAAGATTTCATGAATATCTGTTCCTTTATATGCCTTTCCAGTAGCCTGATAATTTTGCTTAGTTTATAGATTGCTCTGGAAAACTATGTGATTCAACAATTTGTCCGTGATGAGCCACTTGAGCCACTCCAGAGGTTCTATTGAAATCTTTTGGCTGAACGATCTCATCCACTCCACACCATTTTTTTCTCTATCCCTGGTTTCAACTCCGCGATAGGGGTAAATTGAATTCGACATCATTTTCCTCATCATTATCCTTGAAAAATGTCTTGGTCATGTTGTATGGTGGGACAAATTTCAAACATATAAGTTGGAAAAATATAACAAGTAGGTTACCTTTGTTGTTTAGATAGTATATAATGCAACAAAAAATTCAATAACATGATAATCATAAAATTTGCAGCCGCAATTCGATAGGAGAAACACAACGTACCGAACAAGTTTTGAGTTTATTCTATTCACTAATAATGTATTGTTTTATTCGCTTCAGCTCAGAACATATGATTCAAAAGAGTCAGTAATATGGGGCGGGAGAGGAAATAAACCGTCGTACCACAAATCATAAGCCCATTGCAGAGCGGAATATATTTTGTCCCAGCATACCTCTAACTCCAAGAAATTCGTGGTTCAAATTCTGCACCAAAGTACTTGAAAGAGTTGAATAAACGTTGCACAGAATCTGTCATTAACGGCCAATCAATATGGAAAAGTTACTGTGTGAGCAAAACATGACATGTTATTTAGAATTTTGTGGAAATTTTATCGTTGCTGAAATTCTTCCCATTTGATATATTCAGACATGAAGTTCTTACCGTGAATATTTCATTGCATCCACCTGTGAAGTTTTTTGTTACATCCCAGATCGAGAATCAGCAATCAAAACGAACAATATCGACTTTCAACACCTACTTCTGAAGTCCGTATAATTGAACACAATAAAACATTCAGAATAATCTGAATCATGTTCTGTGGAAGAATTCTCTGCTGTGTGACACGACATGAGATCACAGATAAGATATTGTGACAAGGGGCTTGTGCATGTTATGAAACAATATAATATGCAGATGCACATGCCGGTTGTGCGTGTTTACCCAGACAGCACATTGCATCCATTGGACGTCAATTTTAGGTCCATTTCAATTTCAAACGTCCATGGACATTGAATGGACATCCAATAATGTACGTACAAACATGGATTATCATTAGATGCTCCAAATTGTATGTACACTGGCGTCCACCCAATGTCCAATCACGCATGTACGTAGAATGTACATTCATTGTATTTATAAAGATGGATGTACAATGTATGTTTCATAATTAAGTTCCGTTAGACATCCAGTTTATGTCAACTCAAGGACTAAAACTCTCGTGGACGTTTGATCAACATCCATTGTACGTACAGAGACGGACGTACATTGGATAATACAAATCAAACTTACATTGGATGTCCATTTAACGGCCATTAACATTATATTTTATTTATAGGTATAATTGTTCAAAGTAAATGTCTATATGAAATCATTTTGAATCTGAAGGTTTATGGCCGTTGAATGAACGTACATTGTACGTAAGACTATTTATTTTTCAGCTACGTGAAGGGGAAGCAGAAGGTCAGATCGGTCGGTAGAGTAGCGGTAGCGTCTGGCGTGATTCTGATGCAATTTTCAGTTGGTAAATGACCGTGAACATGATGTGTTGTGTTTGTGATGAATTGTGGACTGCAAAATATTCAGGACCAGATCATTGCATGCATGTTAGAATGTGACTTCATATATTATCTAATATAGTTATGATCTTATGCTTTATCATCCTACAGGTTGTTATTCATTTTTAATGGGCGGTTTGATAGAAGAAGTACCTAAGTATATAGCAATGTAAATAAGGCGTCATTCACCAGTCAGAGTTAATAATAATAATAATAATGGTCTTTATTCATCAATTACAAATTACAAACTACAAATTGCATCAAGATTGAGAGTGTTTGATAATGCATGATGAATGGCGAAGTTCAGCCTAGGCTGTTTTTCAACTTAATCTGAACAGGATTTGGGGTATAGACAATCGATTTCTACCTATATAGCAACTTATATAATTTCTCTTTTTCTATATAAACAAGAATTTGAAGTGGACTGAAGAAGACATGAATCAATAATATATTTATATATCACAGTAGTAGCAACTGTTATCAAGTGACGTATGGCTTTCATAGCCAACTTTTCAATTTTTAGCTTTCATTTTGCTTCCACGGTCTACTCGGTGAATTTCAATAATAATTTTTTTCTGAACTACTTTCTGGTTAGATACCAACTTGTGATATGTCATTAGAAAGGGAATTGAATGCTGAATAGAGCGAAAAGAAAAAAAAAAGGGTTTCCATTCAAAATAATAAAGTTGATGTTACTTCCGGTCAGACCGGAAGTTAACTTCGACATGTCAATATGCTCGAATTCTAGTTCTTATGTCATTATATCGACGCTCCAAATTTCACAAACTTACTTCATACAATAACTGAGATATTCCGTGAGCAATACTTCCGTAGCCACCCGGTATATATCTCAATAGAAGAATAAACTATATATATATTTGCTACCTACTGATTTTTCATCATTTGATTCCCAAAGATAAGCATCCATTATACACCCACATGTAAACATCCAATGTACGTCCAAAGAGGTGTCCTTTAAGACATCCAATGGACTTTCATTGGACGTTTAACGTCCAATTTGGTACGTCCAATGGATGCTCAGAAATCTACATCCATTGTGAGTCCGAATATGAACATCCGTTGTTCATCCAAATGAAGACATCCATAGTACGTCCAAAGTGATGTCATCAGGACATCCAGTGGACGTCCATTGGATGTTAAACGTCCACTCGAGTACTTCCATTGGACGTCCTTACGATCCGACGTGGACGTACATTGTACGTACATTGAAAATACATGTGCTGTGTGGGTAGTAACCTCAAAATATATTTTTGGAAGAAGATATTCAAAATTGAAGAATGGTATTAGTAATAATTTATCTTGGAAAATATCTGTCTGCAGTTTCTGCAAAAGTTGGTTCAATGCTCAGCGTATTTGTTTAAAAAAATCGAAATGGAAAAATATAAAAAAATTGTCACGTAAATCGCTCCAGAGAAGAAACACCCGTGGGCTAGGAGTTCTGAATATAGTACAAAATGAACACCATTCTGGAAACCCTGTATCTACAAATTTCATAAGAATGAAAAAAAGATACAAATAGGCGAGAATGTATTTCACCAGAAATGAGGTAGGTACTCATCCACATTTCATCTTTTTCAAAGCATTTCAAAGCGTCTACTCGAGCGTTTCTGGGTGTTTGATTGCAAACGAGATTGCAAACAAACATGGCATATTTTTGGTATTCTTCAATCAAAGCACCAACATATGCTCCGAAGACCAAAACATCATAAAACTGATATCTTATCTTATCACGTTGGCTACCATATGAGTCTCATGTGATGCACACTATCATTTGCTCTACAAACCACCGTAAAAAATCGCATACTTCCTCTCTGTATCAAGTGAAGAATCAAACTCAAAACGTAGCCTTTCGCTACAAGATGTCGCTATATTGTATTTTGAAGCAGATGCCTTCATCTCGATAGAGTTTGCTGAAAGATCACCGGTGATTCACATGGTACATAAATGAACCATTTCATCATATGATTATAGGGAACTGCTTATATTTTGTTGTTTTTTCTTCGATTATAAGCGCCTTCATTCAAACCTTCATAAGAAAATAATGTACAATTAAGACGAAAAGCGTATTTCGAGGAGTACGCAAAAATTCAAAGATGGCAGCAAAACATACAAAATTGGTTACCACCTTATACGCGGAATGCCCCGAGAAACCTTCATACTGTTTGGACTGTTTTAAAAAAAAAAACATTAGTATTTTCCGAGGTATTTTCTTTGTACAATGATTATTGATAAGATTATTTTTTACTTATGAGTGTAACAATTTCAATAAAAAATTGACAAGAGAGTGAGCGGTGCGTCATTTCATCAGAATGATCTAGTCAATTTCTATAGGCATTTTCCAGATCTATGTGTATCACTGGTGATACCCACTCCAACCCGATATTATTTGGTTCATACCTGTACCATACCCACAATTTTAATTCCTTCGTTTATACACTAGGCTTCTCTACAAGCATTCAAATAATATGTGTTCATTATCACTGGTGATAGATAAAGTACAGAAGTGAACTATGAAAAAGCATCACCGGTGATACATATTATGGTACCCTGGGTCAGAATGTTGAATTCAGGCTTGGTAGTCAACGTGTTAATTATTGAAGAAATTAATCAGTGGACATATATTATTAGTAGTTTACTTATAAAAACATCAATTGCCTTTTCGGAGTACCATTAAAGTGACATTACCATAACCCCAGAAAATTGTTTCTCACTTCAAAACAAAACAAACTATTCGAAGATTCAATAACGGCGTTATGCGCATGCACTCCAACATAAAATGAATGAAAAATAGGACATGTCCTATTTTTCATTCAATTTTGCATTCAGACTCTCAGTTTCTGTAATACATGGTGCAGTAAATTCTGAATACAAATTCTCATTCAGAAAATGGCTGAACTACTGGCCCGTGTCATACGGACTTAAGATCACTGTATAGTAAAGCTTCGGATTTCGTATACTATATGGTCAAATGGTCGTCGAATACAAGAATATTATGATCATCTTCATTTACTTTTCATGACTACTAGCGATGGCAACTAAATTGTCAATTCTTGGGCATATATTTTTGTTCACACTTATTACTTTTCAGGCTTGCTGAGAACTTGAGGGATCTTGCGAGACAATCAATAGGGTCTGTCTCACTTTTTTCTGCATTGGTTTTGGGTTGTACTGAGTACTCCATAATGAGAGTGAGTATATATACATACACAGGGTGTCCCAGAATAAGGTTCTACAACTTCTACAGGTAGAAATAAGAAAATGAGAAAATATTTTTCAATCAACGAGTGGCCAGAAATACTTCCAACAATGATTTTGGGCGTTTGTTCTGAGGAAGAAAGTGGAGCATGATGATCAAAGTTTTGCATTTTACCGAAAACGACTCGTTTCACGGCATTCTAAACGGAGCACACAATGTGTTAATGTGTTTGATGAATCATATTCTGGTTATCTTGAAATTTAATATCCAAAATAAGATAGATCGTGCAACAAAAAATTCCCTTAGTTCACAAAATTTCGTGATTCTAGGATCAATTATTGTAAACAGATAATCAAAAAACTGCATTTTTGGACCTACCTCCGAAGGGCTGTAGCATCCTTAGGAAGCATTTTCATAAACATGTTGACAGTAACAGTTTTCCCTTATTTCATCTGCAGGATTACCTCCAGAGATATACGAACGTTATTCTGGAGATCCCTGTATATTTAGTATTTCTCTCATACTCATCAGGTATCAATTAATGATTTTTTTATGAAACAAGTGTGTGGAATAATACTGTTTTTATTACGCCTGCGGCGTCATCTGACAGTTATTGTGAGTAACAAAAATACTTCCTTCTACGGCTACAACACAAAATTTCTCTCGATTTACTGTGTTCTTTGAATCAATGAGGCACTTTTTATGTCATCAATTTTATTTCCGTATCTGATATCACAATTACTTCATTGTGTTATTATTTCAACAAGCCGAAGAAATCGACAATTTCGCTTTTATCTGTTATAGCTGTCAAAGAATTATAGTGTATAACCCACAGGGAATAATAATTTTCCACTCGAATAATTTGCAGCATTCGCCTACAACTTATGCTCCATTATCGTTGAACAATTTACTATTCTCACCAATAGCAATAGAACCTACATTATGTACTAGTACACATAAAGATTCCAATAAGAATGGGAAAGGGGTGCTTTCATAGTGACAAAACGTCCATATTTCAGTATCAGAAAACCATAATGATTGAAAAATATTGCTAGTGATGGAAACGATTAATATACACCTTGATGTATGATAGTATTCCATGACACGATTATGTAATGATAGCCAAAGGCGTGTGTCGTTAACCGTGGCCGAGTCTATTAATACACAACAAATTTGGAAAGCAAAAATTGATATCTCAATATTAATATTTCAACAACATGTCCAAAATTGCCTTCACTATTGACGCGTCGTCATCGAATGTCATTCGAAATTAAATGTCAAAAAACTCGAGTAAGTGAGATAGAAACGTAGACCTGCTTGTTTTTTTCCAAATATGTGTTTTCATTGGTCGAAATCTGTATCGTAGTAATATCATTTTCAAAATGAACAATATTGAGAAATCGGTAGCAGATATTCAATTCGTGTATCATAATACGGGAATAAAAACATAACTATTACGCATGTATTACATAAAATATTTTTTCTGCAACCGACACAAGTCGTCCATTTTAATATCGAAATTAGTTCTTGAATTGACGTTTCAATTACTGACACAAAAATAGGTATGTTGCTAGGCAGCATATTTAGTTCCTAGGAGCTAAAATTGAACTTTAGTTCCTAGGAGCTAGAGTTAAACTTCAGCTCCTAGGAACTAAAAAGGATGTACAAGACGTCATCGAGAAGAAACCACATTATTACGGTTGGTCATTTGGGTTGGGACGCATACCTGATTTGCTTCCGATTTCGGCAGATTTGGCATTTCATACCCATGCTGGAGATATAAATACACCTTATTATAGTTGGGTATAGGAATTATGAACTTCTCAGTCAAGTATTTTTGTTTTGATCAGGGAAGCCTTCAAGATTCACATACTTGCTTGATCTGTATTTCATTCTCGGGATGAATAACTTGTTTTTGAATAATCACGGCATGCAATACTTTTTTGTCCCAAACCACGATATTGTTTACCTCCATTTGATTATCAAGTCAAACACAGTGTAGTATGGAGAGGAATAAATAATCGCTATTATTATTGTTGATATGCTCACTAACCTAACATTTTCCACGTCTTGTTCCTATACCTGGCACTGGCGCGGTATTTGCCATTAGAGCAAGTGGTCCATGCACAAATATGTCACTCTGTGGTTGTATTTATATTGGAACTACAATTCGAACATCCTTGAAAATTGAATAAACCTGCTATTAATGCATGTAGAATATTCTCACCACACGGATTTTGCATTGATTTGGATTTGTTGCATTGCATACAAACATATGGCACGGCATTGGTGGTTACTTCACATATTCATAAGAGTTAATTGTTTCGCTTGCAGAAAAAAATAGCATGTTTCATCCGGATCAAAAGTGACTTTGTTTGACTCGCAAATTTGGCTTTCGTTCGGCTTTGCTAAACGCTCCGCCTCGCAAATGCAAAATTCGCTTGTCAAACAAAGTGTCACTTTTGATCCTAATAAAACAATCTACAATATATGCCGAACTGAAATGTATCTCTGATCAAGACTTTGATTCTTAGTTATGTTACTGAATTTTGATGTCCGAATCGGAAGCTCATTCTAGTCCCTCTGATTGTCAGTCGTGCAAATATGCATTCATGTTGAGATAATGATAAAAATGCACATCGTGACTTCTTTGGAATCGCGTGGGTTGATTTATTTTGTAGAGGTGGTTGAAATCCTTCATAGACATTATATGGGTCTAATCCCCCATTTGATATTGTGAGTGTCCCCTGACTCCAGGGTATACCAACTAAACACTTCATCCCGTTTGTAGGATCGTCTCCGACAACACTTAGGCCAACACTTGGTAGATTAATCTCATATGATTATATCAGACATTGGATTATTTTATGAGTTCAGAAGGAATATCAGGATATAACATGTATTTTATATAGTTTCCAAAGATATCATTATTCAAGTTTGATTATTTGTAGACTAAACCTATCGGAGGCATACTTTTCATGATTGGATGGATGGCAGGACTCATGATAGTATGTTATGCAGGAGAAAGGCTTATGGAGGAAGTGAGTATTGAAATCAAATACAAAATACAAATACATAAATTATCACATCAATATTTGGTTGAGCCTGAATACGAATTTCTGCAACAAAGTTGCCATCCTCAGGAGAACTGAAAAAAATGTGTTGCTGACTAGTATCATTCGATATATTCTTCACAATTCACGAGTGTGATTGAATGAAATTTGGTGATATCCTATTCATATCCATACAGGATGTTCCTTAAAGACATGCTAATATTAAAGGGCGTGATTATTTAACTCATTTTAAGAAAAAAACTTTCAACTAACGTATGCTATAAGAAGTCATTCAATGTTGTACAAAAAAGATCCTCCTGTTGATACTCGATAGGGCGCTCTGTTTTCGATAAATACGAGATCTAACTTCAAATTTTGATGTGAATGTTAAGCTGGGTACTCCATTCAGGACATCGATTACTTGATAATAACCATAGTATGTGCAATTTTGGAATTGTTGCACCGTTTCAGTCACATAGCTGAATTGATTTCGCCATCAGGAAAAGCTACACAAGGTGGACAAAAAAGAATCTATGTATATGTTCAACTTTGATACCCTCTTTATCTCAAAAGTTAGGAGTTTAACGACAATTTATTCTTGAAATGGGTCTAAGAATCGCCCTCTTGAATAATAGCATGTCATTGAGGAACACCCTGTATATTATCTCACCGTTCAGAAAACGGTTTTGGTTCGATGAACATGTTGAAAAGATCAAAAAGTTTGGAACAAGGGATGGGTCCTAAATCTTGATTCTCTAATTGATTTCAATTATGAATAATGTCAATAGTTTTTGAACAGCTCGATTCTCTATCAGTTGCTACATGTTCAAGAAGTCTCAAATCATATGGAGTAATAGGGTGACTAGTCTCAAGAATATATGTTAGGCGACACCTGATTTATCAAGAATTAAATCTGAAGTGAGTAATACATTTGTTTAATGATAAAACTGATGATCATCGGTATAGAGAAGTTGCCTGGATCATGAAACGCGTTAAAGGGAAGTGATAATTTGTGAAGTATTCCTTCCAACAATTTTGCGCATCTATTTTCTGGGAATTCCACTCTGGATTCATCGGAAAAACAACCTCCGAACATAACAACAATTGGCAGTCAAATGCTCGAGATCACCTTTCGCCAACGTATACTATAAGAAAGATTTTATTGGGTCTCAACACCAGCAAAGCTTGTGGCTGCGACGGAATCCCACCGATCGTTCTCAAGAAATGTGCTCCCGAACTAACACCTGTTCTCTGCAAGTTGTTCAACTACTCTTACAAATTGGGGATATTCCCGTCCAACTGGAAAATTGCAAGAGTACAACCGGTTCCTAAAAAAGGAAAAAGACCCTACCTAGCAGCTACAGACCAACCGCACTGCTATCTATTATTTCAAAGATCATGAAGAAAGCTATCAACATCGTGCTTATGGAATACCTGGAACATTCAGGTATTATCAACGATAGGCAATATGGCTACCGTCCTCAGAGATCAACTAGTGACCTGCTCGCTTATGTCTCCCATATATTGCAGCAATCTATTGAAAAATATGGTGAAACCTTAGCCGTGGCACTTGATATCTCCAAGGCATTGGAACGAGTCTGGCACTACGGACTCCTCGCCAAGCTTCCATTGTATGGCTTGCCTCCCCAGCTATGTTCTCTGCTAGCTAGTTTTCTCTCAAACCGGTCTCTCCATGTAGTGGTCGACGGAGTTTCATCTGACTCTCATATCATAAATGCTGGTGTTCCGCAAGGATCAATTCTAGCTCCAACACTTTTTCCACTCCATATCAACGAAAGAAAACTTCATGTCCAGTGGACAGCTTCGCGGATGATAGTACCCTCCATACCAGCTTCTCTTCCAGGGCTTCAATACCAGCCAGGCAAATCAGATACGAACGAGGAAGAAATGTTGACAACATAAATATGGACTTGGCAACAAAACACAAGCATGCCTTTTCTCTAGAAAAGCCGATCTCACTGTGCCCAACACAAGCTTGTCAGGAGTAACCATACCTTTGAAAACATCCATTTCGATGCTTGGTATTTCTATCAGCAATAACTTTTCATGGGAAAATCACGTGAGATCAATTGCTAAGAGTGCATTCCAAAAACTTGGTTTTCTGTTTCGGGCCAGGAGCTATTTCACTTCCAGTCAGCTGCTTATGATCTATAAGGCACAGATCCGACCTGTCCTGGAATACTGTTCCCATATTTGGAGTGCAGCACCCAAACATACCCTGAAACTGTTGGATTCTGTCCAAAAAAGGGCAATCCGTCTCGTGGGTGATGCCTCGCTCACAAACTCACTCACTTCTCTGGAACACCGTAGAAAAGTTAGCGATCTGGCTCTATTTTATAGATATTTTCATGGACAATGCTCTTCGGAAATATCGACAATTGTTCATCCCTTGGCAGTCCCCGCGAGATTAACCCGTCGAGTTGAGGCTTCGCACCCCTTCGTGTTTGGAGACCTGCAGAACATCTCTTCCCAAAGACTCGTTCATCCAACGAACAGCGAGGCTCTGGATCTGGATCTAGATTTATGAATACATTTTCATGAACCCAAAATGATATTTTGGATGCGATTACGTCATGAATTACCACTATCCCTCACCGCATTTTTTTATCAAGGCAATTTTCGTCACAAATAATCATCAATTCTATCAATCTTGATGAAAGAATCAGAATCTGACATCTATAGAAAAAATACATGTATCAATTAAGCAATATAACTCAGGTTAGAATCAATATGGCGCCTGATTGGCACCTAATATGAAATTGCTATAAGAAAGTTACTAAAACAATTAAATAGTTACAGTTTTTGATTTTCTGTGATTATATGACTTTTACAACTTCTGATACCACCAATAGGAATCCGCCTTTAAAAACGATTATCACAGATGAATATTTTCATTATGTGCCAACCAGCGCAAAGTTTGACAGGTTTTCGGCCGAGTTAGGTCTTGTGCGGAAAGGATATTTCTCTTCCTCAAATTCGCAGAAAAGACTGTATTGATAAATAAATAAATAATGAAATGTACAGAGCTTTGCTTGATCGAGGCATGAGTTACCGACGGAATCTTAACGTTACGTCTGTAACTTAAATGGCATTCTGGAGCGGCTGAAAATTTGACCTTTTCTCTACTGCTATCGTATGAATCGTTATCTGATTCATTTGATTCACTATTGGAATAATATTATAGCCACAATTGACCACTCACTGGTCATATGTGAATAAAATGATCCAATTTCCTTCAGTGAGACCGATGACAACCCTTCTTCCAATGATTGAATAAAGTCGACAGATATGATAAGCAGCAGCAGATATAACAAATAATGATACACATCACATCAAATATATTTGATTCTCCTAAGAAATCTGAAAACATTTGAAGGAAACATATTCATGTACACTGAGAATGAGTGAAGAAGTGAAGAGTGTACAACCTCATTTAAAATATATAATCATTTCAGATTGTCTCTGTTGGTGCTGCCATCTCAGAATCACAGTGGTATATCACTGATGGTGAAACCAAGAAAGATATCGTGTTCATACTTCTCAGATCACAAAAACCAATATACTTAGAAGCCGCACCAATTGGTATCTTGAACTATGCATTATTTGTGATGGTGAGAATATTAGAGTATAGATATTGCACTCCTATTCATATCGCTTTTCATTCGACAATCTAACTTTATATTGAAAATACGGGAAGTAAACATGCTGAATCACGGTGGATGGCACATTCAATGTGCCTGGTGATTCACTTTGAAAATTTGAAATTAGAAAGTGGTAGTAGCTTCGATTTTTCAAATTGAACACCATAGGGGGGGGAGCGTTCAAAGTGAGACACGCTGTAAGATATTATTTTCAGAATCTCCAAGAACTCTCCTTGATATTTTCCTGTGCATATTTGTTACCATTCTCGAAATGAAAAATAATTTCACTATGTTTCTTCAAAAATGCTGACATCTTTGAGTTGAAAAAACTGTGGTAACGAAATTCGGTTCGGAGTTAAGTGATAATCGGCTTATATCACAAAAAAAATGTATTTCATAATTCGATAGAACTCACCCAAACTAGCACACCACCGCAAACCGTTTCTTGCTGAGAGCTCCCTACGTTTTATAAAAAATTATTGAAATCCCCGATTTTTCGGACCTCTGAAAACGAGGTGATGATGTGACGTCAAAACCCTAATCCTGGAACAAGACTATTCCAGACAGAGATGAATGATACATGATTTCTGATACAGTGAATTAGCGCGAGATCACAGTTGGAAGAATTAATATATCAGTTGCCTCAGCTTCCGTCGGGCTTTTGGTATTTTCTTTTAACTATGGCGAGATGAGGTTTCTACGTCATAAGAGGGTCCGTTTTCAGAAGGTACTATTATTTATGCCCAAAAATAAAATATTCCAGGTAATTTTTCGATCGAATTATGTCGTCAATCATTATTTATGTATGAAAGAAGCATTATAAACATGATTTGAGTTATAAGTTCTACTAAGGTGTACACGCCCATTAGAGACTTTTCGCACTTCAGCCTATAATCTTCGGTACTTCAATACAGGGTGGAAAAACTACAGTTTTGCCATTTGCTCAAAGGAGTTACTGAAAGTTGAAGCAGGGATTTGTTAAACAGGCCATCGTCGTGATGAGACAGTCTCCTAATGATATCGACATTTTCGTCACTTCAGAAGTTGAAGATACCTTTGAAAACGATGGAATAGGACCATTCGAACGGAGTTCTTTTGAATATTCCTTGGAATATTTTAGGAAATACTATAGAGGATTTCTTCGATATATATTCTGCCACTCGATGAATATCACAAGTGTTGGTAACAATACTATATAGACAAGGCTCCTGTACATTGTTCAAAAAAAGAATTGGAAAGACTTTTCGAAGATCGGTGATGGAACCATGGAATTGGCCTGCGAGATCACCTGATCCCAATACATTAGATCTGTATCTGTACGGAATGTTCGAAGAGAAAGTTTGAAAAACATCCGTGCGATAGAGAGATGAATTGTTGGATTTCCCAGACAATTGAACATTTGGATCCGAATGGAATCAGATTTGCCACGACGAAAGAAGTCCATAGATATTTTCAAGTTTCTTCATGCTCTTTTCGAAGTTCATCCAATCGTATTGGAATTGTTCTGAATTCGTGTAAATATCTTCAAGCTCATTGGCGGTAGATTTGGATACATTTATATTCCATCGAACTTTCTACATGTCTTGTTTCGATCACACTATCCAAAAATAATGAACAAATTCATAAGCAGAACGTTTAAATAGTTTTGTTCCATCAACTTCGAAGGTATTTGCAACTTCTGAAGTCACGTAAATGTCGATATCAACAGGAAGCTGTCACAACATCACAATGATACTGTCGAATGATTGATCATGGCCTGCTTAACAAATACCAAATGGGGATACCATTCTGCAAGAACATTCTCACAAATAAATGCCTACCTACGAAACTTGACTAGTTATAGTAGGTAGGTATAGGCATGATATACATAGGTGATGAGAAAATTCAAGCAGCTTTCCGAATGATATACCTATAGGGTGTTCCATACGAAATAATCAACTTTCAGTCATTTTTTCAAGCAAACGAAAGAACTGTATTTTTTCACCACCCTGTATTGAAGTAACGAAGATGAGGCTGAAGTGTCCGAAGCCTCTATGTTTCATCTAACTCCAAACCTGATTTCGTTATCATAGCTTTTCTTAACTCAAAGTATCAGCATTTTTAGAGGTCATGATTTTCGAAGAAAAAATTCAAAATTAATTTCTATTCTGAAAACGGTAATAAATAGGTGTAATTCCTTTGACGCTCAAAGAAATATCAAGAAAAAATGTTGAGAATATGTTGGAGTTTCTAGAAATCATATTATACAGAGTGTGTACAATTTGAAAAATCAAAGTTGCCACTACTTTATAATAAAAGAAGCAACACCGCATTGTCGAACAGATGTTTAAAGTGATCCAGTGTCTGGTTCACCACCAACGTCTAATGTGCCATCCAGCCTGTATAATGGAATAAGAAAAAGTGCGCAAAATTTCGTCAGAATTTCACAAAATGGGATGTATGTATAGTTGTACTGCTCATTTATGTCCTGACAGTCTATTAATGTAATAATTTTAAATAAATAGAGTTGTGGAGACAAAAGTCTAAGGGGTAGATTGTAAATTGTAGATGGGTCGTTCAGGCTGGGGGACCTCTCGATCACTGCTACCTAGTAGATCTATTGTGAATACCCTTATCTAGTTTTGGTCTAGACTCCTGATGAAGCCTAAAATTTTCCTGATGGTTGAATTTTCCAGTCTAGGCATTCTCCTCCGGACCCATACTGTCAAAAACTCAGTAAATTTCGATAGATCTGTTCAAGATCTATTTTATGCAATATGAAATCCGAGAAGGGATGATTAAATGAACCTGTGTCGTCAAAACATTATGTACTTTCAGTAAACAAAAAAGTAACATATTTCCAACAGAATAAAAACAAAACAAACATTCTCATACAAAAATAATCATATTCCTAACTCTCAATTCAAAATACTTACAAATATATGGGTATATAAAAAAAACGAATAATAAAAATGAGCAACAAAAATACAAAACAAATAAAAAATTGAACGTTAGAAACAAGATGATATAACAGAGGTGTATAAAAATTGAAATTGATCTTAATCAGATGAAGTATTACACTACACTGTTTAACCACTAACCAAACCGATTTTTTAACGCCTTGGCACGTGTTTCGCTAACTATGTTAGCTTCTTCAGAAGAAGATTTAAAACTGTTTGCTAAAGGTTCCAGTATTCGATATAGATGAAGTATTGTCCTTCTCCGGATTATACATATCATAAGTACATATATATTGTTCTCAATTGTTGATATTTTTCAGTAGATCATGGAATTTTTCAGTAGATCAGTAGATCAATATGAAAATCAGGAGATCTACTGAAGATTCAGTAGGACTGGCAACCCTGCAGTGGACGAAAAGTACTTGACTTTGAAAATAGTTGAAGATCAAATACATTTCATTAATAAAAATGTGCAATGAAATTGTCGATAATTTTTATTATTCTTCGAGGAATTCAGAAATATGCCGAGGTAGGGTATTGTCCGTTTTTCTCGAAAAAGAAGAAATATAGGAAATATGGTGAATTGGGCGTCCTGATTCCGAATCCGAAGTGATCTTCAACCTATTTTGACTCCTAATATCATTTTCCGGAAATTGGGGTGGTTCCATGGTTGTTGGCAAGCAGTGTATATCACTGAAGACGACCCCACTTGGTCATAGAGTGCACTCTTGGTATATCTCTCGCTCCAGCAAATTTCAAATATTTGATTCTCCTTCCGAACAATTCACCAATTGTGAAGAGACAGATTTTCGTTTTTCCAAAAACACCAAGATTTTTTGTTTATGCCGGTTGGATGATAATGGAAGATGATGCTGGTTTAGAAACAACTAATTCTACAAATCGTTCACGACTTTGCATACTTTTGTTTCCTGATGAGTTCATCATGTGAATCAGGCACCTCCACCTTCAGAAATATCTGCAACTCAACTTCATTTTTACTAATTGTTTCATTACAGATTCTTCGAACATCATATTCCTACATGACTCTGCTCAACCAGACTGCTTGAATAATCGAAGCACAATAACCTTGAAATGCACTTTGTCTCGATTCAAATTATGTAATGAAATGTATCAATAAATCACAAATGCATCAAAGAGCTTGTTTTAACAATCAACAACATCTGCGCTATTGATATTGATCTCATCTTTTCAATTCTGAGAGATGAAGGCTGAAGCAGGACTACACGTAGCTTGAATTTACAATAACAACAACAGCAACAACTTCACATCATATTATACCTACAACCCTGATTGGTTCTTCAACACCTGCAAAGTGAAGAGCTTAAATACGTTGGCGATCTGAGAAGAGAAAATGAGAACTCTCTCAATGTAGCTCATTGAATAGGTTGTAACTGAAAAACACACACTTGTGGATTTCTGTTTCTTTTCGATGATACTCGGTAGGCTTCGTTACTAACTCCATACACCACCTTAGGAGCAGCACCAATAATCTCCGGCCAAGGCTACGGAAATTAGAATTTATAACTCGTTTTTTAAGTAAAAATTCTCTGCTCTGCCAAGAATCCACTCGCCGTTCTGATTGCTGGTCGAGCGCTCAATCACTGCGCTGTCTTTTTGCCTTTTAATATCATCATGAAAGTCATCAAATTCGGCTAAAACAATAGGCAAGTCGCCTGACTCATTAAATAGTTATGACAGAAATGTGGTAGTCAATCGGAGAATCGGATGATTTTCCTTGTTCATCGTTCGTATATGTAAATAAATTCGGTACACACATATAATCACAATGAAGGTTCAGTAGCTCAGTTAAAATAGTTCGAGTTGTAACCAAGGACTAGGGTTCGAATCCCGTGGCAGTCGCAAGGCCGTAGTATACTCCACTATATAGGTATAGCGTCGTATAACAAGTGAGGTACGTAGTTTTTTGAAGGTATCAGATTAGTATAGATGTAGTTTTCATTAGGTATTAGATTAGTATAGAGGTCAGATAATTTATACGAGGCTATAAAAGCAGATGATATTTTATATATTTATATATTTATATTTATATATTTAATTCACATGTTATCATTATTATATTCACACTTACCTAAAAAGTCCTCGTAGAAACTCTCAATTCCCCATTCAAGCGAAAATTCGTATAGTATTTATAAGTATTATCCTGATCTCCTATATTTTATGGTCAGAATGAAAGCCGGTCACAGTAACTAAAAACAAATCTCATCTCCGTGCCGACATCGACCCCACCACACCGCCCATCGGTGAACATTATTGCGATGTTGCCAATAATGGTGGACTTTTTAAATCAAAAAAGAGAATGAGAGAAATAATTATTGAATGTCATCGTGATATTCATGACGAGTTCTTGGTAAGAAGAAACAATAAATGGCGACTAGGTGAAAATATAAGAACCCTTACATCAGGATATTTCTGATTACTTATAATTAACTAGGTTGGTACTGTAGGTAGTATCAAAAATCAATATGAGCTCTTGTAAGAATATAATCATTTTTTTGTTTTTCAACAAAAGCCTACGAGTCTGTAGGAGAATCAATGGTAATCTTTGATCCTGGCGTTATTAGTGTTCATTTCCTCATAATATATCGCCATCTATCAGTAAATGTTAAGACTGAAACTATATACCTATTATCTGATGTTGTATGTCTGGTATGTAACTATTTGAATTAGATATCCTACTGATAAGGTTAGAAAATGATCCAATACATCTCAAACTTGCGTACCTAATTTGGGGAGTTATATCTAGCAATCGGCAACGATGTCGGCTCAATGGATTTCGGCTCATGGAGGCCAAGTGGTTTTTGATTTGTTGGAAATGAGAATGAACTGGTTATCAATTAGAGATATATTTGCGGAATCGAAAGGACCGCAATTTAATGGCGAATAGGAAAGCATTTTTCTCAAATCAACTGTTATTGACCAACCTATAGTAGTTTAGTTGTGGACAATTAATTTCCATTTCTCCACAATGAAAAATCGTTAATCTCAAACTGGTGCTGTTTTGTTAGTTGAAAAGCATCTGATTGACTGCAAACAGTTTCTATTCTGACGAACAATCATTTTCATTCACAACAAATGATATCACTATTCACTCCATCAATAACATGATTTGAGACAAAATCGTTGAGAATTCACTACAAATGATGAAAATGATTATTTTTATTGTTTTACCGCAAATCAGTAGACGTTTGTTTCAAATTTAGAAACTTTTATGGTAGGTGAGCGATACCAAATGAATCAATAATTTTGGTCCAGTTATTTTATTTTTCACAGACAGTATTAGTTTCGATAGTGATCAACACAAATTTCTGAATGAAATAATGATTTGACCCATTTTTCTCAGTGCAGTTGCCTCAGTCTCCGTCGGGCTTTTGGTATTTTCTTTTAACTATGGCGAGATGAGGTTTCTACGTCATAAGAGGGTCCGTTTTCAGAAGGTACTATTATCAATGTCCAAAAATAAAACATTCCAGTTAATTTTTCGATCGAATTATGTTGTCAATCATTATTTTTGTATGGAAGGATCATTAAAATCATGGTTTAAGTTAAAAGTTCTACTAAGGTGTACACGCCCATTACACAAGTAGAAGATTCATTCCAATATTTCATTCATTGTATAGAGCATCTACAGTTCATGTTTCGAAAATTTCGAAGGTACCTAAAAGTTAACAAAGATCAATGACGGGATAATTATAAAGAAATTAGAAGGAACTCACTTGAATAGAAGTGTCTAACAGTTAGACTCTAACTGGTTAAATATAGTATTTCGAACTGAAGTGGTCTGAAGTTCTCGGACCATTGAATGTATACCTGGGACAAATAAATTAATTCAACAGAATCAATAAGTAGAGGATAAAATGTAGTAAATAGATATCATCTCAGAAGGTTTTGGAGTAAATGAATAACATGCTGGGTTACCAATTGATACATACCTCGGTAATCATATATGTAATGTTGTCATCACTAACGTCATTGAATGTTGTGAAGTGTCACATTACACACCTCTACTTTGTAACCTATTTTTCCAAATTAGGATTAATTTCATTCAGCTAGAATAATAAGAGGAATAAGTCACACTTGCGAACGGCTGCTGTTTGCCAGAGAACAGTTGATATGGATTCGAGGTTGATATTCGAGTTCGATATCAAGTTTTGGACGCCACTCAATTTAATAGTAGACTAGTAGTTGATTTGGATAATTGAGAAAACCAAATAAATATCTATAACTGATGGTAAGCTACAAATACATTCAAAATATGTTTCCTGAAAATTTTGAGATTGACAGATAATAGAATGAAACGAATGTGTATTCCTGCAACCTATTTATTACACCCAAGCCAGACAAGGCACATTCAGACCACTGTAGAGGACGTCCTACCACATACTTCAAACTAGGTATATATCAGCTAAATATTGATAACTTCTAAATATCTAAAGGATCAAATACGTGGGGAGATTGTCATTATTCTACTAAGTGTTAAGCTTGAAAATCATCAAAAAAATGTAAAACTGAGACCGCTGTCTCATGGTACCATGGTGAAGCTTCACAGGGAGTTTTACACGTGACTATGGTAAATCAAGTTGATTTTTGAGATTTTGAATGGCCCTAACAAAAACCTGGTTGAAATCAGGGGGATGGTCCTCTCCAGAGGTCCATATCACCCCTATCACGGTCCGCTGGGTGTAAAGATGTTGGCAGCATAGGTGACTGCGATGGGTGAAGATCTATGCTGAACTGCTGGGCCCAGTGATGCAGCCCTTGCTCCTAGGTATTCCTCCTGGCGTGCTACAGCAGTCAATCCAGAAGTCCAGCGTCGAAGTAGAAGGTGCTTCCACTAATCCACTGGGCTGGATTCTGCAGTCTCTCCTCCTGGGTATTCCTCCCGGCGTGACGACAGCATGCAGCTAAGAGGATTAGCTGCAGCATGAAGAGAAGGACGAAAAGGACCCCCTCTGAACCAGTGTGCTGGGTTCCGCAGCCCCTCGTCCTGGGTATTCCTCCCGGCGTGCCGACGAAACACAGCTCAGGAGATCAGTGGCAGGTCAGACCGACCTAATGCTTCCTAACCTCTCCTAGCACCCTTCTGAGAAGGGTTGAAGAAGCGCCAAACAGCATCTCGGCTGGGGCACGCGGCGTGGGCATGGCTCCCAAAACAGCGAAAACCATCCAAATAGGTGATGGTGATTATGACTAGCGTCGAGAACGTTGAAAAAAATAATTTTTGTTTGATATTTCACCTGTTGTATGTACAGTGTGTCCAGTTTTCGATGCTTTTGCGTGATATCTCAGTTATCTTTCGAGATAGAACCTTGCGGTTCTCGCTGTCCTGTACCACTTTTCTGTGAAACTCAAGATGGCTTAATCAGATTTTGCATAACTGTTTGCGTTAGAGAAAAAATTGAGGAATTTTATGAGCTTATAAAATACAGTGTGTTTCATTTAAAAAATCATAAGTTTGAGTCGTATCTCCAAAACCATACCCGGAAAAAAAAAGTTGAGTGCGCCACTGGATTCTGCGTGGACTTTTATATGGGATGAGATTTTAATTTGATATTTTCGCTGAGAAACTTCGTAGATATAGAGGGGGTCCAAAAAGTATAAATTTTCAAAATCGCCCTGTATCTCATAAACGGAAACAGTTATGCAAAATCTGATAAGGCCATCTTGAGTTTCACAAAAAAGTGGCAGACGACCGCGAAACCCGCAAGGTTTTATCTCCAAAGATAACTGAGATATCCCACAAATGCATCGAAAACTGGACACACTGTACATCGAGTGATCAAAAATATCACCACCACACTTAATGGCTCGCGTCTTTCATCATGGATGCCCAAGAAGAGAGCTTCAAGAACCTCCAAGTCTCTCCAAGTCCACTATTCCCCCACCCTCAACATCGACCGCTCACGAAACAACCAATAATCCGAGAGAAAAAATATTTCCTCGCATCCTATTGGTCGAGATAAGGCTGGGAACCAGTAGGTCAAATAAACTTATTCAAAACAGGAACCAAAGACAGAAGAATCTCTCATTCTTCTTTTTCGCATTCGCAAGACCATAATGTGAATAGACAATAAAGGTAGATGACTGTTTCTTCTTCTTCT